TAAAGGTCCCTTCTAACCCAAAGCATTCTATGATTCTATGTGTGTCAAGAAGAGAAGCAACTCACAAAAAATACCTGCCTTTGATTTCAAGACTTAAACCGCAAGCTCTTTTTACCAAAAGCCAAATAATAAGCTGGAAAGAACCCAAGAAAAGAATGCAGTAAAGTCTGAAAGGGGGCTGGATAAAGGTAAACACATTACATCCAAAACATGATTATGCAATCTGCAACCGTACTTCAACTAGCATTCGGAAGCCTTCATTGAATCGCTAGCCCTGAAAAAAGTTGTCATTTATTAAATCACAGGTTTCATAACTTCAGCCAAGATTGCTAACCTTCATGGCTCACACCACATATAATCAGATGTATATCACAGTATCCTTAGTTTTTAACATCTGTTACTTTCAGGAAACTGTTCCCAAGGACTTGTTTCATACCACTTCAGTGAAATTGCATACAATTATTTTAAATTATCAGTCCTCAGCCGGAATGGATACCATTTTAGGAAGCTGTGTTCTGCTGGCAGGTAAGTTTCTCTTGGCCTGTGACCAAGGATATTGCAATGATCAGATCTCTTGTCACTACCTGAACAGAAACAGAGTCCCGGTATGCTACCCAACCTACTATGACGACTAACTAAAAAGCCCTTACCAGAGGGCTGTTAGCTACAGCCAAGAAGCTAACAGCCCAATATTGTAGCTGAAATCACATTCCATTACAGTAGGAATGCCTGAATAAGATTCCTTGGCTACTGTGTTCCAGACGAAATTCATGCCATGGTGAATGTTTTGGAATATCCTTCTACATCAAACTGCTTGAAATAAGGCAGTATTATGTACAAGCTTGTGCCACCACATTCAGAAACTGGCTAAGTTAAAGGTTCTGTTTGCTTGGTTCTCTTCACATTTGACCAGCTCTAGCTAGAAAACTTTGATAGTTGGGTATTTCAGCAAATTCAGTCGATATTCACTCACAGTATCTACATGCAGATAAGTTAAACGTGTCCTGAATGCTGTGGAAGCACTAATGCATTGTTGTGTTGTGTAGACATGATTTTCACAATCACCTGTGAAGGTATAATGTGTATGTTAAATAGTAGCATCAGCCACATCAAGTTACCTAGGACACCACTGACATGAAGTAAGTTCACAGCATCAGCGCTACTGAACCTAGAGAACCTCCACCTTACAATCATCTTAGTGTAGAAGACTAACCCACCATGAACATGGAAATCACATTATGCATATTCAGCAACACTTATGATTCATGATCTGTTATGCAGCACTGGTAGTCTTAGAATTCTCATCTGCGTTTCAAAGCAGTTGTATGGATTAACTGAAACGATTTACATGCAATTCAATCAGATGCATAAGAAAGTATTTATTCTGAGTGCTCGTCTCTATGCAGGGAATAGCACATTCAGATAGCTAGTTAACAATTTTACACAGATGTCTACAGTTCAAGGGGGAATGGCTAATAGGAAGTCTGCAATTTTACTGAATGCTTTTGAGTTTGTCAAACACAGATGAGTATCACCAACATCCCATATAGCTGCATTTTATATATGATATTGCAAGCAATTTAGCAACTTCAGACGTTGTCTAAAGTGCCCTATTTACACTTTGCTACCAAATCAGAGGAACAGAAATTACCATAAGATATACAAAACCACTTGAGAATCCAATTCATCAGCATCGTCAGCAACTTGTCTCTTTTACTCAAAATAAACAGAATCCTCTCTGGGATTGTGTTATAAAAGGAAACAGATGAGGAAGGAATCAGTCTCTCCCCTTTGACCATCAGCTCATGTAGTGTCCATGCCATCTCAAAGTAGGTTGCCCAGATGACATACCAGGACATTTCAGAAGACTTTCCTTACTACGCCATGCTCAATGCAACTAGCAAGGTACAAAAATATTTACAGACTAATGTGAAAAACTGTAGTAAGAAGGTAGGCATCACAGAGGAAATCTGGAATGATCACATAGGCCAGACAATGGGCAATTTTAGTCCATTTCTGTGAGTAGCCAAGAGGACATTCTGTGCAGCACTCATAATGCACCATGTCCTCCCAGACAGTTATTCCAGTAATGTCAATTCGTAGAAGCAGCCCAGCTTGCTAAAACATGCTAATGAGGAGACCAAACTGTTTAACGACCAAGACTCTGGCTGACTGCACACATGCTCTCTTACTGATGTTTAGGGCACCAGTCTGTTTTCCCAGGCAGAGCTTTGTTAATGCAGAGCAGCATTTTAATCAGTATGTTGTCCTATTGAATTCAAAAACTTACCTTGAGGCCTGCTGATTGTGCTGTACTGGCATGCCCTGTTAGACATGGAACCCTTAAGCGAACACGCTTGCCATGAGCCTTCTTGGATTGAAGCAAGAGATATGTTGCTGACATTTGGTCATATTTCCACTAGGGGGGAAAAAAATAACCAAGAGTATTTTAATCTCCTCTTTGGAAACATTGCAAGTACAAAGCAAGCTCAGCCTTCTAGAAATTTCTGCCTTTCTGCAAGTTTTTCTGCCTGATGTGCATCCCTAACATTTGATCACCTAAGTGTAATTTCAGACTTCAGTTGATTCACAGTATATGTTTGAGATCAAGAAACAGACTATGGTTGTTGTTCTTTGCAAATCAGTTTGTAGTATGCTCACTACAGTGAAAACTAATGCTGGGACCAGAATCTGTCTACTGAAGTGAATGGCAAAGCTATTCAGTTTAGCCAATACTTCAACCAGAGACAATTGTTTGGAAGTCTCCCTGCCCTGTTCTTCCCCCATGAGCGGCACCAACTTTTTGCATGATTTTCAACAACTCTGCTTGTGTGAGGAAGGTGGGTACAATGTTTGACAGGTTTGCAGCCTAGTACAATTAGTTTGAATTAATTATAAGGGCTTACAAGTCCTCCAGTAAAGGACTATGCAAGTGCCACAAACCTATTTGGAAGGACTTTTCCCCATGTGTCAGATTATTTCTTATAACTGAAGAACAAGTAGCATTAACTCCACAAATCCATCTTAAGTATCACATATGTTTTAAAAGTCTGTTTCTACTACAGTTACGTGGAAACCGTAACAGTTTTTCCAAAGTGAAGAACTATGCCACTGCTACCATGAAGCAAAAATTCAGTTTCAAGGGAGAATTTTCAGATTCAGGTTAAAGCTGGTATAGGCATTATGTTTTAAGTCTCTTCTACAGCTTGCAATTTCATTGCTAAGATTTGTACAATTTTTCTAGAAGTAGTCAGTTCAACTATTGTCATTTATATTCAAAAGTGACTAAATGCATTCACTTTTTTTAGAAGTGTGAACAGTAACTCCCAAAAATATATTTTATAGTTTGGGTGATGCTCTGATATTTTTCTCTTACTCTTCCCCCCCAACTCTTACTTATTGAACCATTTCAAAGCAAAGAGTTAACCCAGCAAATGGCATCTGTTGTTCAACTATAAATTTCTGGAAGTCTATTTTGACTTTAAGAGATTCAGAAGGATTTTACCATGGTGGGATATAACAGTAATATTTAGGAAACATCATGAGCACAATTAAAGGTAGAAAAGGAAAAAAACAAATTTGAACTTCAGAACTGTAGTTATAAGCTACAGTAGTTAGATTCTGGGGTTCTGCAGGAGGTCCTTAATTCTGAAAAGTATTAAAAATTTCATACTTGAGAATAAGTGAGCATTACTCTGTTAATACAGTATGTTTATTTACTGTATTATGGTGTTTAATTACTGTAAATTACTGATATATACTTCTTACCTCTGATATTAATTCCGATATACTCTCCCTGCTCTGTTTATGAAACACAGAAAGCTCTGTTACGCAGTCTTCATCAAGATGTCCCAGCTGCAAGAACATGACTGATATTGAAGCATGAGGCTTTCGACTTGTCTCATAAACCATATCTGACTGTGACACTGTCATGAAACCCAGCGGGCTGAGTCAATAATCAACCATGATTTTAGACCTTGTATTCTACAAAGTTAGCATCATAGCTAAATATTGTAGGGAACAGACTGAAAAAGTCATACAAGTTCAACTTCACAGTCTGGCCCCTCCTTGGTGAGAGGTTGTGAATTCAAATAAGAAAGCCTGACAGCAGATGAGATTTTTATTAGAATGGAAGCTACACTTTCATCTCTCCTTAAATATTCATAGCTATCAGACATGCACATCTTTTCTAGAGCCAGTTAGAAGTGATGCTGCAAGCACAGTAAAGCTGTTCTTTACTTAGAGAAACAGTGGCATCCAGTGGCCAAAGGGAGGCATTGGCTGCAAACACACAGTAACTTACTCAGTACTTACTACTGACAGCTAATTTTTTTTTTTCCCCCTCTCCATACTACCTTAGTCTCTCGCACAAGTAAAACAAGTGATAGAGACACAGGATGGACACACTTTCAATGAGGTAATTGTTATTCAAACTAGCAATTTTCAGTGAGGACTACATACAAGATAAACCATAACCATGTCTAACACACACTCAAGAACATTTGTGTTTTGCACCTTAAATGAAATATTGACCAAGTAGCCTGGAGAATCAACTGGTCAGTCATATGTGGAAATACTTCACATTTTGATGAAGTCAGTTATTTTGCAAATTAACCATCAGCTGCAGATTACAATGAAAACACACTTGAAATTACTCCTCAAGAGAAATGAAGAGAAAGTAATAACATTTTGATAGCAAGAAGAATCAGTAAGAAACCATGGCCATCTCGAAGTTCATCTTTGGAGAAATGTCTTCACACCCCCATACTGTGAGGGCAGTAGTAAGCCAGTAAAGATTACATTAAATACTTTAGTATTCATCTGACAAGTGTACTTACTGGGTATTTACTCTGCCACTGAACAGCATCAGAATAACCTTGCATGAGCCAAGGGTGACTTAATAGATGTTTAACTGTAATCCGCTTCTTTGGGTCCACCTAGTGGGCAACAAAAATCAAGCTGATACTGAAGTCATGGAGAAGAACTGAAGAAACAATTTGTTTTCTCAGAATCCTAGGGTAGTTAGAAGCTCAAATGGAAACCAATACTTTTTCATAGCTTCACCAAAAGGAACGTCAAACACGTGAGTTGTGAAAAGCAGTTACAGAACCTACAGTTACAATAAATGTTACAGGAATATTTAGCATTGGCTAGATTGCTTAGATGTAGCCCAAATGCATATTCAGTATGTCCAGCTTCACTTATAATACAGCTCTTATTTATATAGCACAATTAAGAACAACCAAATGCAGGCTGCTTGAAGACTTTGTTTAACCATTTAAACCTCGCTTAATTATTTCTATACCAAATCATTCTTCTCAAAGAATTTTCAGCAGAAAGCAATATTAATAATTTCTTCAAAAATTTGTAATAATTAAACTTCTTGTTTAAACACTGAATATTTTTAAGTATTTCATCAATGTAATGTTTTGACCTACACAATAGTACTTTATAGACCTACTGCATAGAAGCAATACCTTTACCTGCAGCATTTGGTTAAGTAGTAGTGTACTGCTAGGAGACAGCCACTTTGGAATACTGTATTTTCCTCTCTGCAGAAAAAACAAAAAAAAGAGGATTTAAAGTGAACCTTGAACAGCTAGCTCAAAAGGAACCGCTAAATTACTTGGATGATAGTGACATCTGTATCTGGTCAAAAAGGAAAAACAGCAGGCACATGCAAACTTAGCTTTAAGAATGACTTGAATAAATTTAATGGTAGCACTAAAACCCAGCTGTATTAGTAAGGAAAATGATGTTTGAATTACCAGCTGCAGTTTTCACCCACACAGCTTGTGTGACATTTCCCTCTTAGCCCACTTTTGCAGCTAACCTGCTCCTTATCTATTGCATTGTTTCATCATAGCAACTTGATACTGAAGTTTTGGAAGTGCGAACATGTTGGAGCATGAATGACTGATATCAGCACTTTGAAATGTGAATATTTATTGAAATCACTGCTTTTCAGACACTAAAAATAAACCATCCTCTACATTTAGCTATTTTTTTTTTAATAGGTTACATCTAGTGCTAGAGTTTTGATCTCTACTCATACTGCAGACAGGAAAAAGGCTGCAGATCTAACAGATTACGTTTCTTTCAGTCAAATGATTTACTGGGTTTTTTTTTAATTCTTGATTAGAAGAAAATCGAAAGTGGCTTTCAGATTTGAGCTACAACACTAGTAGCTAAAAAACCAAACCAAATTCACCATCAAGGATGATTTACTTCTCAATGAAAATAGAGGGGAAAAAAAAGATCAGTAAACAGCCATTGTGAAATAACATAACTATCAATTTGCCAAGGCAGCTTTATTTCTACCAACAAATGGCTCAGTAACAAAACACTTGGTATTACATGCAACATACATTTCTAAGCAAATGTATGTAATGCTTTGATATCACAGGTTAAAGAATTTAAGTTACATCTTTACAGACACTGCTAATGAGCTGTTTATAAATAGTTTGTAGGCTGTTTCACAACAAAGCTTTACTCTGAAACAAAGCCAAGTCAAGCAACACAAGTAATGTGCATTTTGTTTTTAATAAACTGCTACAGAACAGGAGACAAGGAAAAATGAAATTAGCATCTACTTGACCGAGGGCAATAGCTACCAGATGCATAAGATCACACCAGAAATAAGTTGGGGGTTTTGTTTGGTTTTGTTTTTTTAAACAGAAGTTACATCACATGCTTGATTTTTCATTCAAAAAAGTAAAGGCATTTATTCAAGTATTCCCAAATGAAGAGACATGGAACATTCCAGGGAAAGAAACATTGGATGTAAGTCATAACAATCCTAATTAGATTCAAGCAGCAGATTATTACATTGACTTGGAACAATAGTTCTGAGTTGAGATTACAATAAATTTCAGGATCTATAATGTGTGAAATTAAATTCCACAACAGTGTGTAAGCATCCTCATTTCAAGCAATTTTCAGCTCACAACCACATAAAATTAAAACAAACTCAGAGTGGAAGCAGCAAGCCTGCATCTTAACATCTGTACCATTATCAGTTTTCAACTGCACCCAGACTAAGTTTTAAAACTTGGTCGTCTCACTTCACTTAAACAAGTTTCACTGTCCAACGTTCTGTCAGTCCAAACAACTCAGCTCCTAGTTCCTCTGCATGTCAGACAACTACAGCTATGCAGAAATCATCTTTGATAATCTTAAGATCTCTGTTCCACATCTAAGCTCTCTGTTCACATTTCAACTATTGACAAGTTTAAGAGAATGAATACCTTAAGCAGTTAGATCATTTACCAGGTTCTGTCTGCATCTTGGCTTAATGACCAGCATAAAGGATTTTCTGTCATCCTACAAAAGTATACTTACAAATGGACAAGCTCTCAATCTATACTGACCTTGTGGGTAGGCAACACAATTTACACCACAAGCAGAGCAGGAAAGGTAGCTCAAGTCTGATTGATGACCTAGTTGATTCCCCTTTACAGCTATTTGACTGAGAAATTGCAAGTGCTTGCTAACATTACCTGGATGACGCTCTTAGTCATATGGTTTAGTCTTAGGTAGTCCTGCAAGGAGCAGGGAGTTGATGATCCTTATGGGTGCCTTCCAACTCGAGATATTCTATGATTATGCAAGTAGGAAAGTCATATCATTTTAATGGTCATTCATCTGAGTATCAGCACCTTTACACATTCTCTTTGGATCAGTTAGCCATTGCTGCCTTTTTTTTTTTTTTTTTTTTAAGTTCTTCACAGCAACTCAAACTGAGCTTCCTACAGACCTTCTGTCAAGGTACTCAAGTCTGTTCCAATTCCAGACTCAAAAGCCATGCCGTTTGATGAACTAATCCTGGGCTTTATAGAGCTCTGATTGTTATGCACCACAAAAACACTCCCTGTGTAGATCAGCTGTCAGTTGCCTCCTGCCAGAGAAGTCCTTGAACACTCTCGAGTTTTTCTGGGTTTTATTTTTAGACATATCAGACTCTGGATAGAAGGACAAAGAGGTAGAGGAAGCCAAAGCTCTTACCCAAGATAGCTACTCCTCACCCAGTCGCTTACTGGAGGTTTTATCAACGTAAGTTTTACGGCAGCTTAGAAGTGGTTGGTAGAGGTGTATGTATGACGTGGAACAGCAGCTGTTCAGCTGCATCAGGAGGAGTTTACAGGGAAACAGAACCAATTACTGAATTCTATCACTTACTATTTATTCAAACTTTTCTGTTGATTGTGGTGTCTCACACTTCCTCCTCATTTTGGAGGAGGAAAGCATAATAGCAGATAGAGAATCCTGCTTTTCCTAGGCATGAGAATAGCTGACATTTAAGAACGTTATTTTTGGTAAATCAAATGACGTATTTGCAATTCTATTCCATACAATGCAGGGAGAAGCCAGATAAAGGCTCAGACACAAAAATCCAGCGCACCAGTAAGAAAATGCTTCTCCTGAAACTCAATTTCCTATCATATTATAGGACCAAGCTAGAGTACCGCAAAGCATGATTTAAGATGGAAACAAATCCAGAAAATATTGATAGGAAAAGCAGCAAAGTGTAACAAAATTCAGCAGATATGCCTTTTTGCCCTAGGCACAGCTCAACAGGTTCTGCCATTAGAAAAGCAAAGGCCTCTCATAATGCTTAGCAATGTCTGTTCCTAGTGTATTCTAGCACTACCAATACCTACCATTATCTTCCTGTAGACAGCCATGACATTGTCGTCATCAAACGGGAGAAAGCCACAGAGCAGAGCATACAGCAGTACTCCCATGCTCCAAATATCTGCCTAAAAAATAAGAGTGGAAGTTCATGAACTTGATCTATCTAAAATGGCTTAGAGACAGGTAGTACTGTCCCCCTTTGGCAAAGACCATGTACAACTCATGAAAAGTAGGCTCCTCAATTCTGGACAGAATTCTTATATTCCAAGTGAAAGCACACAACCCAAATTCAATTGTCAATTCACTCGAGCTAGAGCACCAGTAAAACCAATATCCTCTCCTTAGGTCACCAAACTGCTGCATTACCTTCAATCTACAAGGATTTCACTGGCAAAAATGAAATCAAACTCATCACAAGGGATTTAGTACGGTAACATATTACAGATTACAACAGCTGTCAGCACAGTTACAGTCAACTTCAAAGCCCTACTGCTTCTTTCCTATTGTATAGGCACAACAAGGTACACATGCCTCATACCACCTCATACTGTAATTCCCACTTAGACCATGAAGAAAAAGGAGGCTTGAAAAGCACTGGACTTCATGGAGAACAAAACCAAACAAAAGCAAGCAGGAGTTAGAGGCCAAGGACAGTGGTGCAAAGGTACATAAAAGGAAAAAAGACTGACTCCACCCAACAGCAATTTAGGAAGTTCGAGGGGACTGCAATTACAGCATTTTGGATGGATTCACAAAGGCAAGTAGCAGATCCTAACATTCTAGACATGGAATCAAAGCTGGATGAACTCCACATGTTTTCTTCTCTCAAATTTTACTACACTGTGCAGTACAAAACCAGCAAGTTTTCACACATGAATTTTAAGCTAAAGAAGGGCCTGGTAAAGCACACAAGATACTGAGACTACACAAAAATTTGCAACAAGAGTTGGATAATTAATGGAACAAATTGCCGCTTGAAAGAATGTGCAGTAGAAGGCAGGAGTTTAAATTACTGTTTCGTAGGGCAGTGAAATATGGAGCAACAAATGGAGACAGCAAAGGATCAGTCAGAGACAAACTAGCCAGCTCTATGATCTGTGGCCAAGAGCACCATGTGCTATTCCAGGCTGTGACTGTTGAGGCTAGTCACACAGCTTCTGAGAACTACCAAGGCACTGTTAGGCAGCAGTATTCAAGACTAAAACCAAGTAAACATATCTGAACCTCACCACTTTTAAATACACAGGGTGGGCGGAAAAACGCTAACCCAAAACTGTGCTACGTACCTCTGAGCCAATATATGCTTTGCCCTGAATCAGCTCAGGTGCTGCATAAGCTGGGCTTCCGCAGCATGTGTTCAGATGGTAATCGAGGCCACCCTAGAATAACACAGAAAACCGATCACACAGAAGTTATTGGCTTTAGCACAGCTTAAGTCTTCTAGCAATGGCATATTAAAGGCCTCAGAGGCTTCATTTTCCTCTGCTGTACATATACATTCACCTTATATTTTGCTTTGGTATAATATACAGTTTCACTAGGCAAAATTGTCTAAGACCATAAGTATCCCATAAACTTTCAGATCCCAAGCTGCTCATTCATCTATTATGTTAGCAGTATTTTCCACAGTTCCTCCTCTAATAAGAGTACTTCCCTTTGCAACTGCAAGGGAGGAGATGTAACTTGGGAAGAAGTGATCCAAGAGCTACTGGGCATGAGGCTAGCTGGTTATTTATAGCAGTATTTAATGCAATAAACTGACGAAGAACCACTAAAAACATTTCCTTATTAAAACCATGTTATTACTTTGCCTGGGCTTTGTTCTAAGCAGATCAGAGTAAGATGATATTATACCGCCAAGATGATGGTCTAATATTCTTGATTGCCTGCAAGATGCTCTAACCTGAGTCAAGTAAAACAATCTGAGGAGAAGTAACTGTCTTTGGATCAGTAAGACCTTCTTCTTCCCATTAAATTGTTTCTTAACAGCACACACCTCACATGTTCAGCTGGGAAATAAAGGTCTCCTAGAAACCAATTTTAAACTCAGGAAACAACTCAGTACAAGCATATGGAACCAGAGGATTTGTAAATGTAACTGGAATAAACTATTTGATTTGATCCACAATCTCCGCACACATGTAAATCTTTTGAAAGAAGACATACACCACTGAAACTTATTAGGGAAAAATGCACACCAACAAAAGATTTATATTAAGGCCTTTATATTGGACAACAGAAGCTGTACTCACAAGATGATCTCTACCTTAGATTATGATACAAGATGAAGTGTGAGAGGAGAAAACAATCTAACAGTCTGGTCATAACATGCAGTTAACTGCTGTCTCACACAGTTAAGGCCCTACCAAGTAATTAGTGATTGGATGACAACTATACAAACAACTTGAATTTAGGATCTTTGGGCAAGTCTCTGCATTGCACTCTGAAGTCAAACATGCATTTTTTTATGTGTGTGCAGTAGCTGATTTAGCTTGACTCTGTAAAAGCAACTGATACTCTTACCTTTGGCTTTGCACAAAGTCCAAAGTCTATCAGCTTCAGATTATGGTCCTCATCAATCAGCAGATTTTCCTGGTAAAAGAGGAAGTGCTAATGAATGGTTCTATAACGTAATTATCCAAGGAACCACATTATCTTTTGCCTTGTTTCTTCTTGTCATTAGCAGCTAGAATTTACCCAAAGCTCTCCTCTGGAGATTTTGATCGGCTGCTAATGAATATATCCCATATTCCAGATGGGTAATACTAGTTCCCATCTGCTGAGAAGGGCCTGGGGCAGGGGCGGGTGATGAGCAGCAAGCTCAATATGAGGCAGCAGTCTGCTCTGGCAGAAAAGATGGCCAGCAATATCATGGACCGTATTAAAAGGAGCACAGCTAGTAGACTGGGGGAAGTTACTCTAGTCCTCTGGAGTAGTGCATCTAGTTTCTGCCCACCCAGCACAGGATAGACATCAAACTGACGTAAGCTCAGTGGATGGCCACCAGTCTGCTCAGTGGCCTGGAGCATTTGCTCAATGACAGGCTGAGGGAAAGATGTTCGTTCAGCCTGTAGACAAGAAAGCTTCAGTGGAGACCTCATGGCAGCCTTTTAATAACTACAAGGAGGGCATGAAGACAGAGCTAGTCTCTTCACAGCAGTGCATGGTGGGATCATGACAGGCAACAGGCATCGAGACATTCAGATTGGAAATAAGGAAAAGCCTTTCTCCTCATGAGCACAGTGAAGAGCTGAACAGGTTGCCCAGAGAGATTTTGTCGCCTTAGCCTTGGGAGAGGTCAAAGATGTGACTGGATAAAGCCCCAAGCTTGGGACGACACTGCTTTGAGCAGGAGGTTCAAGCAGAAGCCTCTAAAGTCACTTCCCACCCAAGCTGTCACATGATCATGTGAATCCATCAGCTCTCCAGCTACAAGCCAATGCCTTCCAAAAGGTACATATAATGCTTCATAGAATCACAGAATCATAGAATCGTTTAGGTTGGAAAAGTCCTTTAACATCACCCAGTCCAACCATTAACCTAACACTACCAAGTCCACCACTAAACCAATTAAGGGGAGAGTAATAATTAATTTCATGTTTCCTGGCTTGGTGACTGGATTATTTTTAATGAAAGTAAAACTAGGAATCATTAAGGTTGGAAAGGACCTCTAAGATCATCAGTCCAACCATCAACCCAACACCACCACACCGACTAAACCGTACCCCAAAGTGCCACATCTACTTCATTTGGGGTGAAGTTCTTTGGAGATAAAGATTTCATGAGCTGTCTAGGCAAACGCTCATGTGCTAAGAATTTGCTTTTCTCAGAGATGTCAGCATCTCTAAAAATGCAAATTTCTAATCCCTTCAAGGAGAAATGGACTCAAGTCTTCCATTCCCTAAACCTATGCTTAAACTCTGCAACAACAGCAAGGCCACAGGATGCGCCCAGTCGCATGCATCTCCCCCTACACCCTCTGTCTAGCCATTGCTTATATAAACTATCAGTGTCACTTTTTCATTTGGGTGTGAAAACAGAACAGTTTGCACAACAGAGTGGCACCATAAAGACTCTCTCCAGGTGCAAGCTGGAATAAGGGGGTTAACAAAAACACCTAAGCAATGTTCAAAGTCAGATCCATGTCTCTGCTCCACTTCCAGCTGGGGCATGTTGTTCTGCTTCTCTTTCAGAGAAAGCTCCTTCCTCAGATATAGCCACATCCAGCTCAGCTGAGGAATGTAGTAGCAAGAAGAAGTAATGCTGTTTCAGAAGATGTTAGATATAGAGCTCTAAGCAGAAGAGAATGGCAAAGGCATAACTTACTCCAACTCCTAATGGAGAAATAAAAGTGGGTGTTCATTATTATCTATTATTAATCCAGCAAATCTGACTACTATCCAGGCTTACTGGTTTAAGATCCCTGTGGGCATATCCCTGACTGTGAACATAGGCAATTGCTGAAACAATCTGCCGAAAAAATACACGAGCTTCCTCTTCTGAAAGGCGGTCCTTAGAAATAATGTAATCAAACAGCTCTCCTCCGGGACAGTACTGCATAAAGACAGGAAAAAAGAGAATACATTTAGAATGCAGTAATGAAATCTAAACACCGACGAGAGCTCTGGACAGCAACTAGAAGACATTCTTCCATTCCCCCTGCTTTATCACAGCAGCACCCAAGTGCCCCCATGTATGCCCTAGGTCAGCACTGTGGCAGACCAAGCAAGCTGAGAAGCCTGACTCTTGCCTGACATATTGCCACAGGTACATCACACTAACATCACAGGCGATAGAGATTGCCCAGGAGGTGACAACCACATGCGAGTTCTGGGGTCCCACATACCCTGCTGATGCTATTTTAGAATAACTGAAGTGCAAGGTAGGAATTAACATTTTTCACGTATTGCAAACAGTGAAGAGCGGCTTTTACAAGAAGACAGAACATAGAACATATTACCAGCTTCATTTTTAAACTAAACAATGAGCATGTTCAAGATGCTTGAGATAACTTTTTAAGAATTGTTTCATTTGAACTCTGTTATCATCTACCACTACAGCTAAAACCTGGAGCCTTTGCCATGACACATTTCTTACCTCTAAGACCATGAAAATTTTCCTGGACGTCTCTATCACATGATACAACCGGCAAATATGCTGGTGACTTAAGTTCTTCATGGCATCAATTTCTATTTTAACACGAGGCAAGTCATCCTAAGAGACCACAACAGCAAGCTATGAAATTGCCGACTACTTTAACAGCCTGTACATCAGAGTAAGCATCAGACTATTGTGCAACACAAAATTTCACAGCATGTATATGACAGCACACAATTCAACTGCTCAAATGCAATACAGCAGCGGCTCTGCCATTACTTGCCTACAATTCTGGCACATTAATCAGCAAAACAAAGAGGGGCAGATGTAAGATAGCTAGTATTCTCATCAGCATTGTTTGAATTACTGTAATAACCTTTAACTTCTTCAATTTTACAGGCAGAGAAAGTTGCTCTCGCCATAACACGACACAAGATTTGCAGGCTTCTGATAAAATTCCTCCAAGTCTACAGTGTCTGTCAATAGCCAACAGGACAAGCAGGCTGCATTTTGGCATGTTGTACCCCTGTGTTCTTGAGAGCTCCACAAGAACAGCAGAAGATGCTACCAACTTTGAAGTATCTTTTGGCTTACCCCTAGAGCAAGTTTGTCCATGATTTTTATTGCAACTTTTTCACCAGTGAGAAGATGTCGGGCAAGTTTTACCTTTGCAAACCCACCTAGAATTCAAAAAACACATGTTTAAAGCTCAGTGTGATGGCATGCTTTCTTGCCTATAATCTCACAGTTGCACTGGAGCACGTACCACACACAGCGTGCAGTGTCTTTGTTAGAGGAAGAAGTGATCAGTACTACCAACTTCCAATTAAATTTTCAGAGTTCTGCCCCCCCAAAATACACACTCAAAACATGACCTATAGGTTCTGCAGTAAGTTAATCTATACTCAGACAAATACTAAAGTGGTTAGACAGATCGCACACATCTGTTTGCACTCACGGATTAAGCCTACCTGTTCCAATTGTTTCACGTAACTCATAGTACTTGAGAATTTCCTCATAGTCACCTACAGCCATTCTGAGAGGAACAGGGATCTCGCAATTTTTCTCAGCACCTGCAAGGAGAAAGCGTAGCCAGTGTTTATGCTTTTCCACTCTGAGCAGACTCGGAGAAACCGAAAGCAGATTTGCTGCAGCTCGGGGGGGAGCCGGGGCGGCGGGGGGCATCTGCTTTCGCTACCAAGTGCCGCAAGCGTAGCAACAAATTCACTAGAGGAGTAAGTCTGAGCGCCTGCAAGCCAAGGGCACAAAACGCCAGCGTCTCCCAGGGGCTCCTCGCTAAGGCTCAGCAGTGAGAGCGGGCGATGCTTTGCCGAAGCGGCAATACCCCGACCCCTTCCCCCGCAGGGCTGCGGCCGGCACCCAAGAGGAC